TGTAACATGGCACCAGCCAGAGGGGACACCTGACACCTTCAGCAGAGCCAGGACTTCTCATTTATGCTAAGCGAACAAAATGGAAAAGCCACCCTAAAACTGAATTTGGAGATGTTGTTATGGAGTGGGGCATAGGTGTTCAGTAGTAAAGAAATAAATAGACATTATGACATACATAATCATGAGTCAAATATAATTTAAACAATAAATTGTGAAATATAAGAAATTATTAAAACTAAACTCAGTATTTTAAAATGTTATTTCATTATTCTCATATACATAATGACTGGTTTTATTGGTGTTAATATTAGAAGATTTTAACTTCAAAATTCCCTTTTTTCAAAAGTATTTATTTTATAGTACTGTTTTCCCCCAATGACATTTCTATTGCATATACTACATAATGTCACTCTTCATGACAATGGTGCTGTCACCAGTCCCCACCCTCCCACCATTCAGCCAATCACATGCCCTCAGTCTTTCTCAGCAAGCTCAACAACTGCTAACAAATTATGCCAGCTAGCTAATGTTAGCTAGAACAACAACACCACCACCAAACTACCGTATTCTTCCAACTACAAGACAATATTTTCTTCTGTGTCCAATTATATTACGTATATACAGAAGATATTCAGTGTAACATAAGCTACTACAGAAGGTCATTTGCAGCCTTAATGGTGCCTACTAAACACTAACTAAACACTTTTTCGTTAGCCAAGTTTAAACTGCAGAAGTTTCTGATGACTCATATAACGTGTTTTAGAGAAATACATTCCTGACAAGTGAAAATGAGATGAAATTGTCTTTGAATTTCTTTACTGCAGAAACAGACCATGGACTGAATCTGTCAAACTACAGTCAGTCTGTCACAGATGTTTAGGACCTCTGACCACTTCTGTCAGAAGAGTCTGAGAGGAGATTCTGAGTATATGACCGAGAGAGAAGCTACACAAATGTGGGATTTAAATCGTGCTGAAGTATTTCATGTTTTTTTACAAGAGAAAAGGCTTCAAGGATGAGGACTGTATTCTCTTTGGACTTATCCCGGGACAGGATCCATCTGATCATCTCGGTTTTATATCCTCAAGAAGTCTTTTTTCCAACAACAGGTTTGTGAAAGAGTCACCATCAGAGTCGTCTCATTTTCAGGCCAATATAGTAATTCTGACTTACTATTCCGAACAAACTAACTCCTGCTGCCAAAAACACAAAAACCATAACTAACCCAACTCTAAACGTGCTAGCTAACGAGTCAGTTAGCTAGCTAGGCAGATTTGTGTGATAAGTTATTACTTTTATGAAAGACATTAGAAAGGGAATAAATAAACTCCAATAAACCACAATGATGAAATAATGTTTCATAAAGAGGAGTTGAGTTTAAATAATTATATGTCTGACATGTATTCTTATGAGTAATCATTTTATTTACTTAATACTGAACACATCACACTTCTTCTTCATGCTCATTCTTTGGCGGGCACTTCACAATTAGAGTCTGAGGTCATGAAGTGACACAACACAGAGCTGTTTGAATTGCATTGCAAAGTACAGGAACATTTAGTGCTTGAGAATATTAGTAATTTGCTCATATAACAATCATTCAGATATTAGAAACCTGCTGAGTCCACCTCCAGTTCAATGCCAGTGAATGAATTTATTTATTTTTTTAAATCCAAGTGCACTTTATATTTTCTCTGCTGCCTACCTAACGTTGTATTATCCTCATTGAAACCTGCAAGTTGGTTCCCCAGTCTGGTCTTTTTGTATCAGTGACAAAGCATAAACACATAAACACATCAGCCCCTAGCCGATAATGTAATCTGGCACCGGCTCCAAGGACTGAGCAGAGTAAAGGAGAGGAGTGAGCCAAGCACTCCGGCGGCTAAATTTACTCACCCGCTGCAACCCCGGAGCCTATGCAGATTCTATTAGCACTTTTGAACAGTTCAGTACATCATCAGTCTGCCATTCTCCATGTTAACGATGAGTGTGCTTTGTATCATACCAACATCTCTCAGCACAAATAGGAGCTGCACTTTGAACAGTTTAGGGTCTGAAGTGCGCAGCATTAGAAAATACTGATGTTAGTCTTAATCAGCATACAGGTGTGCGTCATTGGCCTCGTCTACCACAGTAAACATGACAATATTTATATTCATCTTTTCCCACTTGCACCCAGAGTGGAAAAAGGATTGCCCCCTGTTGTGTACTGACACTGTGACCTAACAGCTGGCTTTGTTCACATTTGGATTTATTGTGGATTTTACTCCGCCTTATTACCTAAGCAACTGATACAATAGTATAAAGAATGCAGGTACTTGGAGTGTCTGAAAGCATTAACTGGTTGGCTCAACTACCACATGTGAACATCCTAGCTTGAATTGATTATTTTCCATCTTAAAAGCTGGGCACATACAGAAATCTAAATTAATTACGACCAGAGGTTTAATTTAAGTACATGAAAGGCAAATATCATTCACAGCCAGGCTGCTGTCTGCTTGATGAATGAAATGTTCATTCATTTGCATATATTAAAACACACTTTGCATCAAATTACTGCTGAAGCATTACTTGTTGAATTCTGTCAAGCATCAGCGCCGGATTAGTAGTGATCCTCCATCTGAAGTCTGAGATTGAATGTCTTCTGAAACTGGATTCATCTTCATTATTTACAGAATGTATTTAAGAGTGTTTGGACATGGACTACTGACGGAAAGGAAAAAATTGGCACACAAAATAAGGTATATTTCAAGGTTAATGTCTTGAATAACTTAACTGTAGTTTAAAGAAAATGCACAAATCCCAGGAACTGTATGTAATAGGTAAGTGCCAGCAGCTATGCATCTCTGCATTTGAAATTATGTTTTCCATCTTAACTGTATTAATTCAGCTTCTCTGATTAGCAGCACGTCCTCAACACGCTCATCTGAAAATTAATCCTGGATCAACAGTCTTCCTCTGAGATGTTTGATAAATTATGGCTCTCATCTTTCCAAGGCACGGCGTTCTCTAGCTGTCTATCGGCATTGTAGAAGAGCTTCCGCCGAAGAGCGCTTCAGTGTCGGCGCTGCGACAGAGTGCATAATTCTCCAGAATCCTATGTTCAGTTAGTGAGTGCTGTACTGTCCCATATAGCTGAGGACAAAGCAAGAGTTTGTCCCACTTCTTAATGTGAGTTCACTCACTGATGTACAGTTCTGAGGCGGATAATTAAAACATGGGGGACCCAGGGGGAATACTATTTGTACTGTGTGTGTGTATCTCTGGAACATTTTATCAATGAACAAAACATCCCTCTCCCATTGATAGTAAACAGACTAACATGAGTGCACATCTGGTGTCTGGAGGAAGATGTTTGCAAATTCTGACTGACATGAAAAAGTGTGTCCAGCTCTGAATAGTGGTGTTAGACGAATGACCTAATCTGATTTCTGAATTTAGGTTGGACTTCAGAGATGACCAGAGAGGGCTATAAATGAGGCGATGATGCAAATGCAAATAGTACCTTAAAATGGGACACGGACTGTCAATGGATTTGATGCTCTACTCACTTTAGACATGACTCAAAATCCTAATTTATCATTATTGTCCCCAAATACAACACGAGCCAGCAATGCTCCTACAGGAACTCATAATGTGTGGACAGTATGGAAACTTTTGTCACTTTCTGAATCATAAAGTGGTCCTCTTTTGTCCTGTAAATACTTAATGATACTGATTAATGAAGTAGCCCATGAACAGGAAATTAATCTGCAACTATTTTGATAGTCAATTAATCAGCAACTGATTTAGCAACACTCTCCGACCTCGTGAGACTCATATTGGACCGTTTAAAAAAAAAAAAGATCGAAATCAATGCAGCAGAACCAGAGATATCATCTGTTTCATTCCACTCATTCTTCTTCTGAAGTATGACTTATTCTGTCAAAACCTGGCGCCTGTATTACCCACAATGCAACTCAACCACCGACAGCTCGGTTAATGATACGGGTGTTTTATGCTTGTGGCAGCTAGGCTGGGCTGCAGAGGTCTGGTCAGCTACCTTTTTCCCCCCCACACCCCCAGAAAATGAGATCCTCACTTTCAAACTTGTCTTCAGCTCCAGCCGACTCTGACTTGAGGCAGTTTATCAGATTTCCCTCAGCTCCCTCTGGAGGCACAAAAGGCTTTATACAACTTGCTTCATCCATAGATGGATAAAATTGTTAAAGTTTATCTTTAAGCAAAACTGCCAAAGGTTCTCTGGTTCCATGAATACCAGCTGGCTTTCATAGTCCTCTGTGATATTAAACAAAACATCTTTTGGCGTTCAAAATATTGTTAGTTGCAGCTCGAATACAGTATGTTCCACTGGGAAATATGACTTAAAACATCTTTAATATTATAAAGCAATATATGAAGTCCCCCTCCACTCAGTGTTTGTTTCACTCTGCAGAAGGCTGTATGTACAAATCAAATAGAAAGTTTCTCTGTGATCACATTAAATCGGAGTTTAAGAAATGGACTAAGACTTGTCACATCACAACTAGTCTGGAGGCAAAGTGTGGTCCATTATGCAACTTACACATGCACTGAGAATGGACTTTATGGTGAATAAACATCTTGTGTCCAGCTTAAAGTTTAGAAATTAACAATATTTTCATATTCATAGACTTACAGTGATATAAAACTGAGGAAAACAGCAGAAAGTCACATTGAAGAAGCTCGAAGCCCTGAATATTTGGAGTGTTTGCAATCTCTTTAAAGAAGAATGCTTATAGAAATATTTGTCAGTTGATTTTTGTAGGTCGAATAATTAATGGACTAATGTTTCAGTACAAGAAAAAAAAAAACTGTTATATGTATACCTAATAAGATGTACACTGAGTAATTATAAACTAAACTGGATCATACTTTTCTCTGGAGGCTGGTTCAGACCATTTCAGTAATAATCTGCTGCTTTTGACACGTGATGACTTTAGAGAAAAACTTTCACCAGAACATCACCACGCTGCGCTGACCTTTGATGTGCTCGTTGACAACGCTCTCCAGCCGGTCCAGCCTCTCGATAATCCTCAGGGTTTCCCCTTTACTGTCCTCCTCCAACTTTCTCTCCGCTTCGCCGCCGCTCTCCGCAACTTTTGGCCCGTTGGCCACATAGTTGGTGATCCAGCCGACATACAGAAGACACACGATGTTGGTCATGCCGCTCAGGATCACACATGTCGACACCAAAGTTTTAGTTCTCCTTGAGCACAGCATCGCGACATCCCTCCATGGGCTTCTTGTTTCTGACGCGCGCAGGTAGGTGGATTGAGGAGAAGACGCACTCGAGAAATGTGTCCAAATGTGACTACAGCGATGCGATGCTGTGGAGTCAGTCCGCTTCTGCGCTCTGAGGTCCCGGCTGAGGCATTGCTAAATCCTCTGGAGGCTTTAAGCGCTTTACCCTGCCTTTATAGTAATATTTCTGCTAATAATACTGGGAAGGAGAGCACCCGCCGAGCAGCCGGCGAATCAACCTGCGCTCAGCAGCTGCAAATCTGCCAGACGCAGCGCTCCAACCCCCCACTCCCCCCAGCCCAATAGGAGGGGAGGAGGCGGGGTCTGCTCGCAGCTAGAGTACACAGAGGGGGGAGGGGGCAATGTGAGGAAGCTGAACTGCATCGGCCCAGACTCTGACGGTCCGCTGAGGTAATTGAAATGAAACAGGTGCGTTTATGTAAAGACTGGACTGTCGTGCGCCTCGTGTGCGCGTAAATGTGTGTATGTGATGCTTAAACAACTTGTGCAGGTGTACAGGTTTGTGTGTGGTGTGAAGGTGTGTACAGCAGATGTTCAGCACCTGTAAGGGACTGTAGGAAAATTATTATAGGATCCTTGAACTTTTGCTTTTGGCCTGGGGGAGTCTTATCTGATTACGAGAGAAATGGGTCCAAGTTTCATAGGATAGTCTATCCGAGTCACAACAGGAGGCTAGTCTAACATCTGGCCAAGGGACAACAGTTGAAAATTAGCCTTTTGACTTACTAACACAGGCACACTGATGAAGATTAATGAGCATCATACCTGTTAAAAATAAATAGAATAAATATAATAATAAACAAACAAAAACATAAAGATACATATCTTAACAACAGCAAAGTCAGAAAGTAGGAAAACTTAAAAACCTAAACATCAAAAAAGTAGGCTAGCCTTTTTCCCAACACATCATCTTAGCAACTGGAGTTTGTGTTTAAAATGAGTTTTCCTGAAATCCTACAGTAGGTATTTGTTTTCATATGGAACAACTCATAACACCACATTTAAAATTTTAAAGCACATTTTTTAACCTTCACTTGTGGGCCATTCTAGTCCATTTCTTTTATTAGGCTATAACATCATCCAATTCCAAATGTATTTTTGATATCTGTAATCATGGTTAGGGCAACAAAAATTGCCTTCCCTCAGCAGCATCAGACCTGTGCCAGGTGTGCTTTTGCTTGTCATAACAACTTTATTCATTTAGTAGCTTTTGGTTCAAAAATACCAGGAGTACCTGGAGTGCTCAGTAAACAGGACGCACATTTTGTTATATTTGCCATAACGATGCCGTTAGCTAAGACCGCTTCTACTGTACACTCTGGGAAAATTATTGTTCCATTAATATTTTAAGGATTATATAGGAGGACACTATCTTAAATTCTTAATGAGGTAAAGGAGCTGAAAGGATGCAAGACAGACATCGAGCAGGCCTCTTTCTGCTGGACTAGTAAGTGATATTAGCTGGCTTGCTTTGTCTTGTGTTGCTTAATGTTTGGCTGTGGTAGCAAAGTTGCTGACTTACTAGTTTTTGAAGTAATGCTGTTCATATGTATGACAACGGTGTATGAGTGAATTGCACTTTGGGTAGGGTCCAAAGAAAAAATGAATAAAGCTGGGGAGGGTGTAGCTTTATTAAAAAGTGAAAAGTTTCAAACCCCCCTCCACACCCTAAGAATTTGGTTCAGTACTTAAGTGTGTGTGTGTGGGTGTGTGTGCACACACATGTGTGTTTATACTATACAGGGTAGCGATGGGGCAGTGGATAAGACACACCTTTGGTGTGGGAGACCTTGGTTCAATTCCCCACTGCGACACATACACCATTGTGTCCCTGAGCAAGACACTTAAATGTCCTCTGACATAAATAGCAATTGTAAGTTGCTTTGAAGAAAAAAAAGGCTGCTAAATGATACAGTAAATAAGAGGTATGTGTCCATGACTTTGCTGCTAGCAGGTGGTTTGTCCAACAGCCTCTCATATGCATCACTTCCCCGCCTCTTTGACTTCTTATGAACACACACACATTCACACACCTCTGATCGCTGGCCACCTAGGGTGCCTACCTGAGAGCTAAAGTAACTTCAGAGCTTCGCACCACCAACAGATGGATCTTGCAGTTAGAGCCTCTAGGCTGCCGCTTTCATCTTTGTCTTTCATCCACTACCTCGCCATTCACACACACACACACAGACACAGATACACACGTACACACACGTGGCACAGAATCGAAAACTCTCCGTTCACCCAAGAGCACTCTGGCAGATACAGCCGACTCGCCCAGGGTATAAATAATGCATTAGATCTGAAATATTAAGGCTCTCTGCTCTGTACTGCTTTCAATCTGGTCTGACTGACTGTCTGTCCAACTGTCAGTCTGTCTGTATCACTTCCATCTTTCTTCTCTCTCTTTTTGGTCAAGAAAGGAGACAAAATATTGCTCCACAAGTGTTGAATATGTAAATAAGCAGGTGTTTGCTAACAAGTTCAGCATATACAGTGTAAGTTAGAGGAGATGATGTGCCCCCAAGTGGCAAAGAAAAGTTTTTGCAGGTTTAAACCTTCTTCTTCTTCTTCTTCTTCTTCTTCTTCTTCTTGTTCATTAGCTCTACTGATGGAAAAAGAAAATCCACAGGTGTACACTCAATTTTACTTATTTAGCTCTGATTGCACTGATTTTACTACGACACCACTACACCAGTGTAGTTTTGGCTGCTGAGTGTTTAACAAGTGCCGTTTACTTCACCTGGCTAGATGTAAAACAATAGGTTTCAGTAGTTATATATACAATATAATAGTTCACAGTATCATACATTCAGTACTTAGCTATCTTGATTCTCTAGCTGCCAATACAGTGTGTCTCAACTTGTATCTGCTACATATATATATATATGCTTTATATATGTATGAGCAACAGCCATATAAATAGAACCGGGGTATACTGTTCCCCAGCACAATATCCTCTTATTATGACACATTCACCTTTCAAAGAGTTTTGTATTATCAACAATGTTTTTCCAGGTCAATGCTGAATGTTGAAATCACCCACCTACAGCTTATAGCCTCCTTGGAGCTGTAGACATTGATATCTCCAGGGGCAGAATGGATTTTTACCATTCAAACTGCATTTGAAACATCCATTACCCTTAGTTCTTTTGGAGTCTGAACTGCAAAGTTAGACCTTACTTTTAGCACTTTGACATAGGACCCTGGAAACATAGGGATGAGCACAGACAGAGTGTTTCCCAACTTCCCCCAGGTCGCAGCTTTAGTATTGAATTATTTCACAGTGAATGGCACACTTTTGAGATATACTTGTCAACACAAGTATGCTAACGCAGAAGCTTCAAGCTATGCAAGATCAATTTCACACGTCAATGAGTTCTGGAGTGTTTCACCACAAAATCTTCACGCACCGCAAGTGTGTCTGAATGTTGTGGCTAGGGACACTATAGCATGAATCAACAAGTAAAAGCTGGCCCTTTCTGGTTGATTTTATTTCCACTGAAAACAACCCTGACTGACTAGTTTAACAAAGCCCTAGCTGAACATGTCCGTATCATGGACTTATTAAGGAGAACCGTGTGCATAGGCATGTTTCTGAGGCTTTTTCATTCAGAAAGAAATGAAAACGTACAAATTCCGACCCTACCATCTGAATGTCGCAGATGAAATAGAGACTCATCAGACCAGGCAACGTTTTTCCAGTCTTCTATTGTCCAATTTTGGTGAGCCTGTGCGAACTGTAGCCTCAATTTCCTGTTCTTAGATGACAGGAGTGGCACCCGGTGTGGTCTTCTGCTGCTGTAGCCATCTGCTTCAAGGTTTGACGTGTTGTGCGTTCAGAGCATAGACTGTATAAAAAAAGTGGATGTAGTCATCGGTGACATCACCCATTGCTTTATGGACTGCCATTTTGAAGCCTCGGAGTTGTCCGATAGGGCACTGCCATGTTGAGTTTTTGCAGCCAGGAAGTGCCCAGAAGGGAGCATATTTGGACGAGACAGTGGAGCTAACGGCCGTGTGTGGAGCTAGCTAGCTTGCTTAGCTAGGTGCATCTGTAATTCATGTTAACTATCATTTTAACAGGGCTGATAATTTTGTCTAGTGAACAACAGGCTCAAAACTACCAGAGAAAGTGAACAGCCAACTCCTAATATGCTTTTACAACGGCGCTAGTTAAATTTGCACAGTGCCGTGGGTACGAGTCACTGTAGCCTGATCAACAGGTTGCCATGGTAACGACTTGTCAATCATAGATTATCCCCTCTTGAAGCATACTCTGCTTTATGCTCTATTTTCCTCTAAATGGGACCATCATTTACTAAATGTTGTATTAAAGAAGACCAGAATCTAGCGAATGAGACCATAAACTTGTTAGGAAAGGGTTTAATTAGGTAATAAAAAAGTAGAGTCATTTTAATTCAATTAAATTTTATTTATATAGCGCCAAATCACAATAACAGTTATCTCACAGAGCTTTTCATAAAAGAGCAGGTCTAGACCGTACTCTATGATGTTATTTACAGAACAACAATTCCCATTTTTTACCATTATTTCTAATGGAACCGGACTTCTTATTGCAACCAGCCCCCTGCTGGCCATTCAATAGAATGCAGGTATAAGGGACTTCCTTATGTCATTTTCGTCCACACGGCTGTCACTCACTGGATATTTCTTTATCTTTATCGGACCATTCTCTGTAAACCCTAGAGATGGTTGTGAGTGAAAATCCCAGTAGATCAGCAGTTTTTGAAATACTCAGACCAGCTCGTCTGGCACCAACAAATATGCCACGTTCAAAGTCATTTATATCCCCTTTCTTCCCCATTCTGATGCTCGGTTTGAACTTCAGCAAGTTGTCTTGACCACGACTTCATGCCTAAATTCATTGAGTTGCCATGTGATTGGCTGATTAGCTGCTTTTGTCTGCAAGTAATTGGACAGGTGCACCTAATAAAGTGGCTGGTGAGTGTATATACTGTGGTCATGGAAACGCACGTTTGTTAGGTTTGTTATCTCCCCAAGTGCAAGAGCCATATTGAGTATGTTCCCAAGTTTATGCTGGCTGGGTCATGCGTTGTCTTTTGCATTCACTTACTTACTGTAAGTGGACCATGTTTGTGCTCTTAGTGCTCTTGAAACACTGTAGTTTGATAATTTGGGGTGTAACGCAATATTAAAACGTGACGATATTTCTTGTTGAGGTGAAATGTGTCTTAGC